CCCCAAAACCCCAAAACCCCAAAACCCCGGGTGAAAAATTTGGAACTGAAATTTATAATATTATTTTAAATGAGTTCTGTGAAAAGAAATAAAAGGTAACGTTTTGCACAAATTAAAGGATATTAAAAGATATGTTCATTCTAATCTTAAATATAGAGGCTTATGTCAACATGACAATTGTAGAGCACCCAGAGAAGTGTTCTGTACCAAACATGAGAAAGTACTCTGTTGGTTGCATCAATCATACCACCACTTTGAGTGTCCATGCGAACACTTCATCACATCTGAGCAGCTCAAGAATGCTCTGATTCCATTAAACAACAGTCTGCACCAGATCTCCCAATACGGTAAAGCCTACGACAGCGTTGGGTATCTGATTGACAACTTTGAAGCAGCCTTGGAGTCTTTGAAGCAAGAGTTCGAAGAAATCAAGCAAGAAGTCAGCACAAAGATCCAGAGTGATCAGTTCCTTGACTTCTACAAGTTGAAGAAGAGATGTGAAGAGTAAGTCTTAAACTTAGCAACTACTTCGTGGTTTTTCCTAGTTTTGTTAAAATTTTAGAAAGTCTGATCTGAAATAATTTAATGATTTATACATTTGTAGCCATCAGAGCAAAAAGATTGTTTTTGTAAATAGACAGATGCAAGATTTTACAAATTTGGATTTTGGATACAATACTCAGTCTTTAAACAATAGATTTTCTTCCAAATTCTGACAAAATCCCAAAGCTTTTGTTTCTTTGCCAAATCTTATCTAAATTAGGTTTTATGCTAAATTTAAGAGAAGCGACATCTACTCAGCATTCAAAGAGTTCATGTTCAACAAGCAACTCGAAGACCCTACTACCAAGACTGTCATTGATGCGGAGAGTTCGAATAGAATAGTTGAGGAGGTAAGTCTGCTCTAATTTGCTTCCAATTCTTCTGCTTAAGACTCCTCCTTTATTTCAGCAAGATATTAATGCTCAATAGAGAAAGAGGTTTGGACAAATGCTCAACAGGGTCTCACAAGAAGTCGAACAGAAGGTCAGACATGAAGTTGAAGCCACAACGGCCAGAGATGTCGAAGAGCTTAAGAAACAAGTTGAAGAATTTCAACAGCAGGTACTTACTTTATTGCTCCTTTCACAACTAGCATAACTTGGAATAGGCAGAAGAGCATAAATAACCTCAGCTCTACACAAGCCACAGAAATAGAAGATCTTAAAGCTAAAATTGAAGAACAAAAGACTGAAATCGAGCAACTGAGTGAAGCCAAAGAGAAGGCTGAAGAAGGTAAACTTTCAAAAGATCACATCTTTTACAAATTACTCAAAGTGCTATTTTAACATATTATGAATAATTTGTAAATAATCCTTAAGAGCCCTCAGTCTAAGAAGATTTTAAACCGAACTAATTCTCTTTAGAGTTCAAGAATAGCGTTGCCGAATTGGCACAGCTCCAGGACACATATAAAAAAGCAGCTCCTCTTGTTTGTAAAGACATCTGGAAGAGAATTTATGGCCAAGATATGGCCTTTGATGAAAACACAAAGATTGTGCTGAGCATGAATCAACAAAAAGCCAAAGACTTCCTAACCGAACTGACCAGCCATAAAATAAAACTTCCAAACATCAAGAGAATCAAACTCGACCAGGACAAGAAGGAAGACCCAGTTGTCAAAGAGTTTTTCAAACATTGCTTCCCTGACCAGGTCGAACTGTTCAGTTATAATTGGAATCTAGCTTCTGATGCCTGCCAGACAAAGCTGAGCTACTATTTTGAGGAAGTGCAGCATATAATCCCCAGAGTGACTAGAGAGGTTGTGCTTTATTACTTTGACCTGACCAAGCAAGAATTTGAGGTAAGATATTTAGGATTGGTCTCATTCACTTGGGTTTTGACTAAAGACATTCTGACCTTCCTCTAGTACATCATCAGCAATTGCAAAGCTCCCAGGTTAACTATCAGTTGCTCAAAATTCGACACTTCCTCTGCCACCACCTTCGCCTGCGCCCACTCCAGCATCCAGTACTTGTCCTTTGAAAGAAGTGGCCGGTCTGCCAGAAGCGACTGGAAGGGCACCCCCTCGAAGTGCAAGAACATTCTGCAGGCGATCTCGGAGTCAGGACTCAAGGACTCCCTCCACACTCTCAATGTGGGAGACTGTGGGTTGAGCACAGACGAGGTGAAGGCCTTCCTACCAGAGTTCGGACTCACAATCAGCGAAGTTATTGCTAATCGTCCCGATCCTCTGTCAGATTAATAGAGAAATTTCACTGTTCAATCTCTGTAACTCCGCTTGGGGTTTTGGGGTTTTGGGGTTTTGGGG